AATTATATATTGGACACAACCTACGAAGTTTCAAATTTTTAGTTATTTTTCGCTGAGTCTATGGGCCTCCATTCCAACCAGAGCAGCTGCAATGTGTCTTGATAGTGCACCAATACATTTTAAGATAATTTGCTTCAGGGGTGATGTCTCCCCTGCAGGTAACTGTCTATTAGCGACCACCATGTCAGCTACAGGAAAGAATCTCAAACCACAAACCCTTCATATAGTGGTGGTTTTCTGCCTTGCTGCCACAGCCAACACTGTCGGTGCATTTGCGGCGAGGCAGAAACTGACGGATGTCGTCCCTATGGCTTGTTCTGCCAAAGCAGTGTGAAGTCAATTACGACAGTAAGTGGACCTTCTTTATAGCTTGATGCCCAGTAGAGAGCCTCGTTTCTTAATGTCACCCAATTCTGCTATCCTGCTGGTCGGTCAGACAGGATTACAATGCACCTTGGAAGAATGGTAGGTAGCTATTGTAGGTCTACATAGGTAATCCAGCCGTGATTGATACCTACACTGAATATGGTGCTGGACATGCAGGTAATAATGCCATCCACAGAAAATAAATCCAGTTCCGTAAATACAGAGAAGTGGGTCATCAATAGAATTCTTCCCCCATAGTTCCAGAGACCCTTGCAGGTGCCTGGGGTAAGAGGGCCAATAGTTTTCTCAATGATGTGGGTTGTATAGTCATCGAGACATCAAGATAAACTAAAGTTCCCAGCTACTTTTCCCAGCGCCTCGGCGTAGCAATAAAGAAGGGAAACGGCACACAGCATTCTTAATTCTTTGTACCTAATTTCTATGTAACCAATATTATAACCAATCCTATGCAATGAATTTGGTTAAGGTCCAATATAATAAAGAAGGAAGGGAGGCAAGAGCAGTACTCACCACATACTTGATGTTTGCGAGCCTGAAGAAGGCCTCGAGCTTGAGGGCGAAGGGGCTGAGGTTGGGGCAGTACCTGCCTCTGACGAACTGGTGGAGGACAACCACGTCCTTCCCCGCGCTCTCATACTCCCGCCTGCCTCACAGTAACGTAAACCTTTGTTTGTAAATGCATTTCATCTTTGTAAAAGCACGTCAATGACACTATGTAAAAAGACACCTCGAACACTGTTTATGTAGGACGGACGTAAATCTGTGTATTTATGTTTGTAGGTTAGATTAGCATTTTAAAAACACTACAATCACCTTCTGTGGTTGATTGTTTAATAAATCACTGAACTATATGTTTAACAGAGCCTTAACCCTGTCCATGGAGGACAGAAGAAAATGTATATATGCTGGTTAGGATTGTAAACATGTGGCTACGTCGATCTGTGGTAGAAAACACAATAGCAAAGTCGTACTCATCAGACCGAGGTACACATCTGGCCACCATAAACATTACCACAACAATGAACCATCTTGGTTGTTTTGTGATCAGCCGTAAATGTTTGCACGTTACATACTAAATTAAAGTGTGATTGACGTATGGCGAGTAAATGTAAGTGTTTTACATAGTACGTAGTGTGTAGTTTTAATGTATATAACAGAGTGAACAGAGGACTGTGTGCTATGTTTAGCTTGAACCGTGAGTCTTATCAAGACAGCAGAGGACGCAGTCAGAGTTATTGGTCTGATTGGTGAATAGTTTGATGTAGGCAGGAGTGTGGCTAGTTCGAGTAATGTCTCCCAGGGTGCTTATATACCAGGGATTACAAGACATGTTGGTGGACCTATGGCAGCGTGGGAACATTAGATTAATCAGTGGAAAAATATCGAGTTATTTACAGACAGCTGCCGCAGTCACTCCAACGGAGTCTAGAATGGAAATTTGTGAGATCATTTAAACTGTTGTAGATGCATGCCAGAGATAATAACTAAAAATGGCTGGCCAATGCTTTTTAATATAGAAAAGTGCAAGACCTTGCATGTGAACCATGCATGACACAACTACCACATGAACAACATAAGCTTGCAGCAGACTGACGAAGAAAATGAGTCAGAATCCACCATTGACTGAAAGTTGCACAACAGTGGAAGTTGCAGAAAGAAAACGCAAATCAGACATGACAGGGCTGATCTGATTGAAACTTTAAAAAATGTTGAACAATTTGGAGGCTATTGAGGCAGACAACGTTTTAAAAAAGGTCAGATGTAACACAAACAAGGAGCAACGGTTTCAAGCTCAGCAACCACAGTGTAGGACTGAGAACAGGAGAGGCTTTTTCACCCATGAGTTATAAACCCATAGAACCGCCTACCCGTCGAAGCCGTAAATGCCAAAACTGTTGAATAACAAAGTCCAGCTCGACAAAATCATCAGGACAAATGGGCCGGACCTTCGACAAGCCGCCAGTTTCCTGTCCTGGTTGAGGCCACTAGAGATATAGTGGCCCTCAGGTACAGTCAGGTAAAAGTGAACATAAAATAGTTAAAGGTATTGTGGAGAAGAGATTCTATATATGAACTCAAGGTGAATATATAGATGTTACTGGAACTTGTGAGCGGCAAAATATGATAACTAATTAGCAATTATAATTACAAAACAGCAAGAGGCGTGAGCACTGAGCGCCACTTAAGACTATCGGAGTGGACGACCTTAAGAGCACAAGTGGGTCTGGGAAAGGGACATAGATATGATAATGTTATGTCACAAGATGTGAAGTGGAGAGATCTGTGCCCCGGAGCCACGAAGACGGTTACCGAGGCAGTGTTACACACAAGGAATGGCTCATCAAAGTCTGATGAATAAAGTATATAACATCAAGTGTATGTGTGAAGGAGAGGCATACACGATGAGTGACAGTGGACGGAGCTGAGAGACAGACGTGACACGGGGGATGACCCTAAGCCTCACCCGAGAGATAAGCCTCTTAGAGCACTCGGCAACTACTCTACCCCAAGACGCTGATCAACTCTCGAGAGGCTACCAGGTAGAGCTCAGGTATCATCACGGGGCTCGACTCTAGAGCAAACTCTCCCAATAAATGGCTATGCAAGGAACAACCCGTTCTCGCACTTTCGTATAGTCAATATTGACTTATTAAATACGTGCATATGTGACATACTATACTAAACATACTAGTTTACCTTGAAAAGCTTCATAGAAAACAACGACCTTACCTAACCTTCTTAGTATGTTAAGATAAGCATCTTATTGCTTCGTAATTACAATTATTACTTAACCTATTATAGGTATAGTTATAGTATAGATATAAAAGAGTAAGAGGTAAGGGGGAAGTCTAAAAAAAATAAACTTATACAAATAAAATATAGAAGTTTGAATGTTTTGCTGTGTGTGTGCCAGCCACCCGGGGGGCCCCCTAGTGTGTGCCAGCCACCAGGGGGGGCCCTAGTGTGTGCCAGCCACCAGGGGGGGCCCCTAGTGTGTGCCAGCCACCAGGGGGGCCCCTAGTGTGTGCCAGCCACCAGGGGGGCCCCTAGTGTGTGCCAGCCACCAGGGGGGCCCCTAGTGTGTGCCAGCCACCAGGGGGGCCCCTAGTGTGTGCCAGCCACCAGGGGGACCCCTAGTGTGTGCCAGCCACCAGGGGGGCCCCTAGTGTGTGCCAGCCACCAGGGGGGCCCCTAGTGTGTGCCAGCCACCAGGGGGCCCCTAGTGTGTGCCAGCCACCAGGGGGGCCCCTAGTGTGTGCCTGCCACCAGGGGGGGGCCCTAGTGTGTGCCAGCCACCAGGGGGGGGCCCTAGTGTGTGCCAGCCACCAGGGGAGGGCCCTAGTGTGTGCCAGCCACCAGGGGGGGCCCTAGTGTGTGCCAGCCACCAGGGGGGGAGCCCTAGTGTGTGCCAGCCACCAAGTTAGCCCCTAGTGTGTGCCAGCCACCAGGGGGAGCCCCTAGTGTGTGCCAGCTACCAGGGGGAGTCCCTAGTGTGTGCCAGCCACCAGGGGGGGCCCCTAGTGTGCCAGCCACCAGGGGGGGGCCCTAGTGTGTGCCAGCCACCAGGGGGGCCCTAGTGTGTGCCAGCCACCAGGGGGGCCCTAGTGTGTGCCAGCCACTAGGGGGAGCCCCTAGTGTGTGCCACAAGCCATGACCAAAAACATGCCAACCCACCGAACATTCAAGCCTTCTCTTGCCACATCCAGATCCTCTTCCAAGAATTTTACCGCCCCATCCTTCTTCTTCTCACATCCTTTCCAAGCTGTTTATATATATATATGTATATATATATATATATATATATATATATATATATATATATATATATATATATATATATATATATATATATATATATATATATATATATCAAAAATATGTTTAAAACATGATGTTAAGGTCACCTGAGTCGTCTCCTCTTGATGTGCTTGAGGACTCTGCGAGCGTTGGCTAGGAGCGCCGCAGACACCAGCAGCGTCCTGCACCTCCCTGTCCACTCCTGCGGCCACAGGGTCCTCACCACACACGCCACCACCTTCATCCTCACGCCTCCTGCCGCACCTGCTTATACCCACTCGCAGCGCCTTCACCTCCACACCTGCAGGAGCAAACACACAAGGAGTACCTCCGTTTAGTCTATCGGAGGTGCAGCCGCCCAACAAGCGCTTCAACTCCCGTAGTACATGTCGCCTTGACTGCAATATCTCCGAAAATGAAGTATGCAACAAGATCTCTACAAATGTTGCATGTGTTTACTTGTAAGATGATACACATCGCACCTTCCGGTCCGCTGCCTGCGGTGCAAGACGTACCTGGTCACCGTAAGAGGTTGAGCGGTGAATGTACAGGGTGTGATGCGCAGACCAACACACGCGCACCCTCAGGCTCCACAGGGTACACCCGCCGTCTCTCCTCTGGTGCTGAGGGCTGCACACTGACGGGTACCGGTATCTCTTACTGGGGTGCGGCACCCATACACTCCCCATGTAGACAACACACTCACACACACACACCTGTACCTGTGCCACATGCACCTCTACCACCACCCGCACCTCTATCACCACCTGCACCTCTACCACCACCCGCACCTCTACCACCACCCGCACCTCTACCACCACCTGCACCTCTACCACCACCCGGACCTCTACCACCACCCGCACCTCTACCACCACCCGCACCTCTACAACCACCCGCACCTCTATCACCACCTGCACCTCTACCACCACCCGCACCTCTACCACCACCCGCACCTCTACCACCACCCGGACCTCTACCACCACCCGGACCTCTACCACCACCCGGACCTCTACCACCACCCGGACCTCTACCACCACCCGCACCTCTACCACCACCTGCACCTCTACCACCACCCGCACCTCTACAACCACCCGCACCTCTATCACCACCTGCACCTCTACCACCACCCGCACCTCTACCACCACCCGCACCTCTACCACCACCTGCACCTCTACCACCACCCGGACCTCTACCACCACCCGCACCTCTACCACCACCCACAGCTCTACCACCACCTGCACCTCTACCACCACCCGCACCTCTACCACCTGCGCCTGTACCACCACCCGCACCTCTACCACCACCTGCACCTCTACCACCACCCGGACCTCTACCACCACCCGCACCTCTACCACCACCCGCACCTCTACCACCACCCGCACCTCTACCACCACCCGGACCTCTACCACCACCCGCACCTCTACCACCACCTGCACCTCTACCACCACCTGCACCTATACCACCACCACCACCAACTACCTCCGTACCCTCCAACACCTTGGTGTGGTGGCAGTGCCCTCGCCTTATCTATATTAACGACCCTTCGAGTGTATAATCACCAGCCGTGTTATCACTCTCACAGGATAAGCCTGCCTCCTCCTGCCTATTCAAACTCGCACCTGTTAAGCTTATATAACTCTATGTCAAGATTTGGCGAGTGTAATAATACTCTCAACTCGTCCTATACTCACTTGTTACACGTGTTTGTATAATTGTGTATATGGCTATGTTGATTTTTCGTAAATAGTATTTCTGCAGATTCATAATATTTAGCTTGGTATAGGTCTGACCGTGAGGTGCTTCCGGGGTTTAGCGTCCCCGCGGCCTGGTCGTCGACTAGGCCTCGGGGAGAGGTTAGGTTAGGTTAGGGTAAGCGAGGTTACGTTATTTTAAGGTTGGCTAGGCTTGATTAAGATAGGTTAAGTTAGGTTACACACAGAAATCACAATAGCGTGATGCATCAAATGAACAAATCCACAAGGGCCGTGACGAGGGTTCGAACCCTCGTCACGGCCCTTGTAGATTTGTTCATTTAAGTTAGGTTAGCTAAGGCTAGGGTAGATTAGGTTACGTTAGGGTAGGTTGATTTGTGTAAGGGTTGTTAAGTTAGGATAGGGGAGAGAAAGTTAAATTAGGAAGCCGGTCAGCCGAGCGGACAGTGTAACAAACTAGGCTGTTGTAAGAATTATCCAGAGTGGTTTATCGACAAAAGAGAATGGGAAGCTGAGCCGCATGGTGACCTGACCCCCAGGGGAATTCGCGGTGGAATTAACCGACGCTTTGTTCATAACTGCGTATAATGAATCATCCTATAGTATTCAGTAATTTAGAGAAAATTAGCCTTTATTCATTTTGCATTAAAATTGTATTGTATAATAGTACTGGATACAATATCAAGAGTATTCTAATTATTGAGTTTAAGTCACCATCAGTGACGTCACGAATCAGATCTAACTTTTAAAGCGGAGTGACCGGCGGTCATAGGTCATCAGGGGTTGACAGGTCTACTATTTCTCAAAGTTTTAATAACCATTTTGTGATCGGGAACAGCTCTGCCGTTAGAGGCTTGTGTAATTTATTTCAGTAAAATAATTCAACCAGTCTGGATCAATTAAGTACAACAGAGTTTAATTGTTATAACTTAAACCTTGCTAGTAACTTGGTAAAACTTTGACTAGGCGGAAGGATACAAGGTTCTAGTCTGGGCTAGGCCAGACGAGGACAAATCAGTGTGGTCACGGTAACCCTGGTTCGGGTTCCTCTCTCTTTACTTCCTTCTTTCTACTCCCTCTACCCGTATTCTTACTTTTATTTCTAAACCAAGGGACTCCAAAACTTTTACCAAAGCCAACTCCACGCCACGTGGTCCTAAGACGATTGACCGACTTAGGATTCTACACCCAGTATGACGTGACCTAAGCTCTGAACAAAACCCTAGAGTCACCTCTGCTGCCACCACCAGACCAGTAATACAAGAGCAATGATCGAGGTCTGGATCGATCACGCTAATTAATCAACCTAGGGGCTTGATCCCCACTATAAACGATGACCTTGAGTGTGGAATAAATTACACGGTAATGATAATTCCGATTCGATGTTAGAATCGGCGCCCAATGCAACTCTGCCTCGTGTGGACCACGTGACCAGGACAAGTATACACATAAAACACATGGAAACAATAAAATGCAAATTAATAACAAATTTAATTTATTAAAAGAAAACTAAAACAAAATCTAAATATGTTCACTCCCTATCACTTTAACACTCCCTACTTGACCTGAGTGGCAAATGAGAAGACTATTTCTATAATTAACAATAGCAACTATACCTTGGGCTACCAGCTAGATGTCTTGGCTGGTCTAGGGGAGAGGTAAGATGTTTGACCTCTCCTAGCTGCTTCCGTGACCACACTGATTTGTCCTCGTCTGGCCTAGCCCAGACTAGAACCTTGTATCCTTCCGCCTAGTCAAAGTTTTACCAAGTTACTAGCAAGGTTTAAGTTATAACAATTAAACTCTGTTGTATTTAATTGATCCAGACTGGTTGAATTATTTTACTGAAATAAATTACACAAGCCTCTAACGGCAGAGCTGTTCCCGATCACAAAATGGTTATTAAAACTTTGAGAAATAGTAGACCTGTCAACCCCTGATGACCTATGACCGCCGGTCACTCCGCTTTAAAAGTTAGATCTGATTCGTGACGTCACTGATGGTGACTTAAACTCAATAATTAGAATACTCTTGATATTGTATCCAGTACTATTATACAATACAATTTTAATGCAAAATGAATAAAGGCTAATTTTCTCTAAATTACTGAATACTATAGGATGATTCATTATACGCAGTTATGAACAAAGCGTCGGTTAATTCCACCGCGAATTCCCCTGGGGGTCAGGTCACCATGCGGCTCAGCTTCCCATTCTCTTTTGTCGATAAACCACTCTGGATAATTCTTACAACAGCCTAGTTTGTTACAACCCCCCCGCACAAGCACTTAGTAAACCTTGTTAATTTGTTAAAATTCACGAGGTTTAGTATCCAAACCCACAATTCAACTCATGCCACAAACAAAAGCTAACCTAACTAATAAAATTTGACAAATAATAGTCCAACATCATAATGAACATGTTCACATTTCATAAATTTCTCAGCTGTCAACTGACAGCAATCCTCTAATATCAGGAAACATACATCCTATCCTTACTGACATAGCTAAATAACATGTCCCTACTCTACCATCAAAAACTAGCTATTAAACTCTCTTGGCTCTTCACTAGCCAAGTCCATGTGTCCTCTAGAGCCGGCCACACCGTGCTCAAACAAACATTAAAGTTATATCATCAGACTGAACTTTCAGTCATCCGGGAGCGTACTACGGAACTATCAAGTTCACATCCGTGTACTAACCACTCCCCATCAATGTCAACCTTGACATGTTAAGGAACACACCTAATGTTTATTACATCTATCTAAAAAATATAAATTCCTATACTATATCACAGGTTTCAGCTGACTGTACAGCCAAGTGTTCTCACTCACTAGAAGTGTCAATGTTTATATTGGTCCGCCTCTCCTGTGTTCAAACATTCTGAAAAAAAAATAGCACAACATAATTTTCCATAACCGCTTGTTCTGGGCTGAGACAATTACACAGGGGCTTCGATTTTGATTACTGACCAATTTATAGTTAAATTTTCATATATTATACCAGAATTATTTTAAATCTGTTTTTCAACATTTAAAAAATATTGTGATTCTAACTCTGTTTTTCAACATTTAAACAAAAGTGTCCAGATGTTCTTTACACAGATGTTCAGAGCCAACTTTGTTGTTTGTATCAATTGTTCATATTGAGTAAGCGATAAAAAAAAATCGATGCTGCTGGATGCTGAATGTAGTCGCTGACGATGACGGTGTCGATCTTGCTTCTCCCCATGTGTAGACATCAATACCTGGTCCTCTTGTACTCCCATCCGGTACTCCTGAATGACGACAGAGTGTAGTAGAGCGGAGTGACAAGTGACAGCTGTAGAATACTGTTACTTCGGCCATTAATCTTGCTCTCGACAGTCCACACGCCTTCGTATCAATCACAGTTCACACGGTAGTCTTGATGTTAAACTTGTCGCAGATGACCACAGCAGAGCAGAACTGGATGTACCAACGGTGTCTCTTAGCAGGAGTGATGTTAGAAGGTCGTAGAGGCGGGTTGCTTGTTTGCAGAACAGGTGAATCTCGTCTTCCATCATTGCTCACGTCATCTCAGGCGTTTCTTGATGTCACCAGGTTACTAGGCCGTAAACACCAACTGTGCATACCCTCGTACCGCCGACTTTAGGCCAAAGGAGACAATTTTGCGACCTTCTATTGGCGAGTCCCGGTACTCTGTAGGGAAACCGTGCCTTCCACCTGTGACCGCCTTACTTCTGCTTTCTTGTTACTTCAGATGACGTAATCATTAATCTTCCGGCGAAATTCTTGAGTACTGCTACGTGCTTTCCATTTCTTGACCTCTCCTCCAACACTGCTGGAATGACTGCAGTCTTGATGACGCAGCAGGTGGGTATTGGTGATCTCGAGACAGCTACCCCGGCGTTGTATGGCACCTCCGGTGACTGCTATAATGTGGACAGCTCGCTGGCCCTGACAACCTCGTTAGTGACGTGAGGCGTCGGCCGGGTGACTCTTGGACAGTCACTCATCCCCAAAGTAACTGATGTATGGGTTACTGGGTCTAGTGGGGGGAGGGCTTTGTGTAACGTGCCTCTCCCCTCGGTCTTTACAGACAAGGGTTCACGTGTGGCTGGAAC